ACAGCCCACTTTTGTAATTGCTATTAGAATTACATAATAGTTCAAGAGCATGAAAAAGTAAAGTTCTTTGCATTTTTTATTTCTCCCACATCTGCTAATGCCCTCACTAATCACTACTTCCGGAACATACGGCCGCAGTGACAGGCACGGATCCTGCTATTTTACCAAGCAGACCTTTGCTATTTTATCTGCAAAACCCTGCAGAGAATCCTGTTTGCTAAATTGATTGTGCTTTCAAAATGTTTAGTTCATTTTACTTCTGCAGAGATGTCACTGATGAGTGCTATGTTCTCATGCAATAAAAAAAGCTCTGTACAGTTGATAAGTTCAGACTTCTGTGCTCCAAACTCCAAAAGTGATTTGATCTCCTAGCTACTCTTGATATTGTTATTTCAAAGACAAGCAAGCAAAGTTATTGGAAATTTTTTCAGATTTAATTTTGCTTTTTTAAAAGCCTCAGACCTGCAGTAGCACAGAAATGTGATAAATATTAATCCTTTGGCAGTTTGTGGTTATGAGCAATTTTACTTATAGGAACTGTCTCCCCCTCAGCACTTCATTTTCATTTTGAGTTAGTAAATATTTTGTTACAAGTCTGTAGGTGTGGTGTCTTGATCTTGCCCTTTCTAGGGATTCTCCATCCAGCCTCGTGGTTCTTGGTCCTGAGAGCTGGTGCGGTGCTGGATACAGCCCGAGCTGACGGAGAGCGCCACCCTTGGCTTCTTCGGCACAGCCGAGCTGCTGTCCCCAGGCCGCTGCTGTCCCCAGGCCGGGGAGCTCGGCTGCGTCCGCAGCCAGAGTGGTGGCCCTTCTTACTCCCTGCAGCAGTGGGCGCCCTGCCCTAGTAGCACAGGGGATTTGACTGTCTTAAGGGCACAGTCATTTGCTTTCTTTGGGATTTGTTTTGTTTTGTTTTGTTTTTTCTTTCGTTTTTGCAAGGACAGTGTCATTGTACTGAGCAGGAAAATGCCTCCTCCCAGATGCTGTGCATGGTCTCACACCCTCCCATGTGAATTGCAGCCACCTGTCACTACAGTTCACTATAAGAAACTTACTTCTCTTGCACATGTTGGATATTCAAACAACACAAAGAACCAGCTAGCAACTGTTGCATTTCTTTTTTCTTCCTAGGCCCTGGCTAGAGCGTGAAATGCTCCATTTTCACCCTGAAGATGTGTGGGCACGTGGTATGGCAGATTATAATCCACGTCACTTTATGAGGGGAAAAAGTACCTATCTTATTAATAAATTAATGATGCCAATAAATTGATGCATGGTTCACTGTTACTGTTTGTTGGCTTTTTTCTGTTGGGACTTTTTCTGCATGGAAGCGACCTCAGAATGCATGATTAGAACCCAGAGGCAGGGCTTTGCAAAGGGGGGAAGTGCATGTGATACTTAGTGACCATGGGATGTAGAAAGCATTATTTAAACTTCTCAAAATAGAGAATTTTGATTTTCTTGACTTTAATTGATGATCGAAATTAGACACTAATCACTGAAGCTTTGTTGTTCCTAATCTTTGAATTACAGAGTCACATTAGAGTAGTCCTGTCGTTACCCACCGGCGTCTTTTGTCTTCACCTCTGAGTAGCAGTGGGTAGCCAGTAATGTAAATGAGAGTAATTACTAAAAGCATGCATTAAAGAACAATTGCTGAATTACAATTTGGTGATCCTAGCACTCTTACACAGCTAAAGCCCACAGAGGAGGACTATTGACATTAGAATTTATGCACAAAGTGCTGGTCATACTTACAGCTGAATGTATATCCTCGTAGCATTCCTCATAGGAAATAAGGCAAAGCTGTTAAACACCTTACTTACTGAGCTAAGAACTGAGTCAAAATCTGAGATGTTTGTAGGTCTGGAGGACAATGATTCGAACAGTTTCGTGGTATTTGCATGGTCATTAAATATTTAGCGATGAAAAATTGTTGGAAGTGTTTCTGGTTTTACCTTTCAAGCTTGGAAGCTTTGGTGAAGTAAAATACTGAAAAGTTAATTGCACATTTTAACTTTAGAATGGAGAAATGAATGGAAAGAAGAATTTTCAAACAGTTCCCCAACCATTTCTTCCTGTAGTTCTTAAGCTCACAATAACTTAGCAGGTGTGAAGACCCAGCTGAAGAAGGTCTTTGCTCTCTGTTTGGGGGGCTGACTTCTTGCTCCTGGCCGTGATCTGCAGGTTTCATCGAATTCTCAGCACAGGGCACAGAGATGAGCAACAGACTGAGAGCCAGTTTTCTAGACAGCAGTGAGTCAGGAGACCCTTGGCACTGTCAGCCTGCTCGCAAGATAAAACACCCGAGCGCCACAGTTCCCAAGGTGAAGGTACTAAGAAGTGTCTTCTGTGAAATGGGTAGGGATAAATGATTTACAAGGGTGTAGGGATTTTTTAATATTACAGTTACTAATAGGTAAAGGGATGGATTGTTTCTAACCAAGTAATTAGAAATAATTGACTAGGAAAGCAGATGGGATAACTAGAGGTGAGACTTAGGAACTGGGCTTATGAGATGAAAGGATTAAGGTAACTTTACTGTCCAGCAAAAAATCTTTGAGGCTTTGTGACTTAAAAAATAAATCCTGAACCAATACTCTTAAAACAAACCTCTGCGGCCAGCACCTCAGATGTGCAGGACAGCTGTACAAATGAGAAGCCCCTGATCATGCCAGGTTGTGTTTTGTTTTTGCAAGGACGGTGTCATTTTACTGAGGAGGAAAACTAGCAGGATTTCAATTAGGGGAATCAGCTAATCTTTCTCCATGTCGTGTCTTTGTGTGCGCGATGAAGGAATCGGACAATCTAAAACTCCGTAATCCTGCTCTCGGTCTCTGAGAGACCAGTGTCACCATAGCAACCATACTGCTGAAGGAATAAGCTCTTCAAAATTAAGGAGAGACTTCTCTGAGCTTCTACTTTGTTTTAGTCTTATTTGTATGATACGAGTAGGATGGTGAGATGCATTTTGAAATATTTTTAACTAAAATTAATCAGTCTGGGTATTTACCAGAAAAAGAATTTAGTCTGAAGTAAACCAATTCAGCCATTTAAAATTAAGCTTCTTTGTTCCTTTAATGATTACTATTGAGCAAACAATTCTTTATAGTGATACAAATCAGTGTAAGGTTTTTTAGACGATTTAAATTAGTCTTTATCTTTGCTTGCATCTATTTAATTGCCTTTTTAAATTTAAGAAGGAAAGTACCAGAAAAGCCTTATGGATAAATTCTTACCTAATCACAGATTTTTAGCATCTGAGGAAGTTATTCAAACTAAGTATATAGATGTAATTTCTTACTAAATCTAGTGCTCCTTCAACCATGGACAAATATAAAATGTTTAAAACGTTATTTTGTGTTTATTTTTTTCATCTCCATAGACATTTTTAGTAAACATTTTAGAAAATCTCATACCCTTTCATGACAAGAACACTTAAAAAGTGGAAATTGTAGAGAGCTTTCTCAGTCATTACGCTTAAGTTGGCTAGTAGAAACCTCACAGGCGAGCCCCACGGCAAGTCCTAACTCTCTCTTGCTGTGCATCTGTCATTTCCTCGCGAGGCACATGTGAAAAGAGCATCTCCAGAGAGCAACTCGACTACCCACCTGTTACTTTATTATTGCAGATCACAAAAGCGAATCAAGACTGAGGCCCTCGTTGCCTGCGAGTATTTCTGGCGTCCTCCTGGCACTCCTGTGCATGGGTCAGGTACCGCAGCACAGGGCACAGGGCTCACTCGAAGGCCCTGCAGACGCTGGTTCCGGAAGGGGGGGCAGCAGTGCTGCAGGTCGTAAGTGGGTACACCGTAAGGAAGAAGTTAGGGGTGATGTGATGGTGCTCCTGTGTATCTGGTCCTGTTGTCATGTGAGCGGATTAAAACCACGTAATAGCTAAAGCTGTGTCATCATGCAGACATTTGTGGCAACTTGTGCAAATTAATTCGAACTGCAGCAGTTCCCTAGTGAGATGATACCCTTCAGCAGAGGCTGGCACTGCAGCCCTTCCCGCAGGGTCCCACGCTGAGTGGTTGCCGAGGGTGTGAAGTGCCCTTTCCCAGCACTGAGGCCCCGGAGCGCGGGGGCGGCGGGGGGTGGGTAAGTGAATGGAAAGTGAAGAGCATTTCCAAATCACCTTTAAAAGGAGAGCCAAAGATGATTATTACCGAATTTCCAGAATCTAATTCTAACAAGAAATTAGAACACAGTCTGAAGACTAATTATTCAGAAATAAAGAAAATGTTTCAGTGGATGGAAGCTATTTAGTTTTATCTGTTTTGACTTGCTTTTTATTTCTTGGCCAAGGATTTCTGGCGAGCAGGCTCTGGCCTTTCTGTCTTCCGTTTCTCTTTTGCAGTCTGTGTGCTGAGGGGTCCCCGAAGTCCACACAGTTGCACTGGCCCTCATTTCCTCAGCCCTGCAGCTCCCATGTGCTGCTCTGACACCTGGCTTTTCTGGAGGCCGCAGGCACAGGACGGCAGGACTCCGGGCAGTGTGTGTGGACAGAAAGGGACTTCTGTAAGAGTTGTAGCAGCCCAAGGATACCTGGCACCCATCAGTGCTGCTGATGCAGGTGAATGCCAACCGAGCAGCTCCCTGCAGACCCACCCACGCAGCCCGGACGCCAGGCATGGGGCTAGGCGTGCAGTCAGCCCTGGAGAAAACTCGGAGACTCAAGGCAATGGTTCACAGTAAATCCACTTGGCTGTTACAAAGCGAAGTTAGTGGGGTGTGCAGTGCAGGTCAAAGCCATGTGGTTAGTAATCACCATCCCCCCTCCCCTGGTCCCACCTTGCCAACAGGGCTACAGCACAGAGCAGGTTCTAAGTGCTGCTGGGCAGACCCAAACCAGGTCCCTCACACTTCCCTCTGAGCCTCCTCCACAACCTCTTTGTTTTCCTCCAGATCAGCTTTGGCATCTTGAAATTGTTGGTACTCGGACACCAGATCCTGGATATTATTTTCAGCATCCCTAAATTCACTTACATCCATCCCTTCACTGGTGTACCAGTGCACAAAAGCTCTCCTTTTGAACATGGCTGAGAAGTGCTCCGAAACCCTGTTGAAGAGCTCTTGGATGGCTGTATTGTTGCCTATGAAGGTGGCTGCCATGTTCAACCCCCGGGGTGGGATGTCACAGACGGCTACCTTGACATTGTTAGGGATCCACTCCACGAAACAGCTGCTGTTCCTCGTCTGCACAGACAGCAGCTGTTGGTCCACTTCTTTGGTGGACATCTTTCCCCGGAAGATGCAGGCCACAGTCAGGTAGCGGCCACGGCGCGGGTCACAGGCAGCCATGGTATTACGGGCATCAAACATCTGCTGGGTGAGCTCAGCCACAGAGAGGGCCCGGTACTGCTGGCTGCCCTGGGCAGTAAGAGGGGCAAAGCCAGGCATGAAGAAGTGCAGGCGAGGGAAGGGCACCATGTTCACTGCCAGCTTGCGCAGGTCTGCATTGAGCTGGCCAGGGAATCGCAGTGAGGTGGTGATGCCACTCATGGTCAAGGACACCAGGTGGTTGAGATCCCCATAGGTGGGCGTCGTCAGCTTCAGGGTGCGGAAACAGATGTCATAGAGCGCCTCATTGTCGATGCAGAAGCAGGCATCTGTGTTCTCAATCAGCTGGTGGATGGACAGCACAGCATTGTAGGGTTCCACCACTGTGTCAGACACCTTGGGCGAGGGCATGACACTGAAGGAGTTGAGGATGCGGTCCGGGTACTCCTCCCTGATCTTGTTCATTAGCAGTGTGCCCATGCCAGAGCCCGTGCCCCCGCCCAAGGAGTGGACCACTTGGAAGCCCTGCAGGCAGTCGCAGCTCTCACTCTCGCTCCTAACCACGTCCATGACGGCTTCTATGAGCTCTGCGCCCTCGGTGTAGTGGCCCTTGGCCCAGTTGTTGCCAGCCCCAGAGTTCCCTGTGGGGAGAAGAAGCAAAACAGGGCAGGTGAGGTGAGACAGGCACCACTAGGAGGCATCCTAATTTCTTCCAGGTAGAACCTTCAGGAAAAACCTACCGTGAACAAAACTGTCTGGTTGGAAGAGGGCTCCTAATTTGCTGGACCGGATGCTGTCCATTGTCCCAGGCTCTAGGTCCACCAGCACGGCTCGGGGCACGTACTTCTTACCTGAGCAGAGAAACAGGAAGAAGTGAGCAAACTGTTGTTCTTCTGAAAGTTAATGTTTCATCAAAGTAGAACCTTGTGATACTAGTCTAAACAGCACAGTTATCCTGGAAGGGACCCATTATCTCCTTGACCCTCACAGCAATCACACAAATCTATAAAATACTTTTTAAAAACACTTCTGTGGGGGCCGGGGAGATGGCTCAGTGGAATAAGTGCTTCCTTGGCAAGCACAAGGGTCTGAGTTCAATCCCCGGTTCCGCCAAAAAAAAAAAAATACTTCTGTGTCAGAGTGCATCAGTCTGGTTCGTGGCTTGTGACCTCGTAACTAATCCCCACCCCACACCTGCCTGGTGAACAGGGGTAGGGACTCCCACACTCAAGACTCCGACGTCCTGCCTGTCTGCCTGCTTCTTCGACACTTGGGTCCCACGCCAGCCCTACCGTAGGCTTCGTTGTAGTACACGCTGATCCTCTCCAGCTGCAGGGCGGAGGCCCCGTGGTCATGCCCTGCACAGTCGATGCCATGTTCCTCGCCGATCATCTCCCAGAACTGAAAGCAGGAAGAGGGATAGGTCGGTGCAGAGTGGGCCCCAAAGGCGCTGTCTGCACCCCCAGAGTAAGCACACTCAGCCGGGCCTGTGGGCCTGCCCACCCGCCCTACACCGGTTCTCCTGCTCCTTTCCATAAATGACCAGGGCATAATTCACTTTTCCCTCTACTGTGTGGATATAAACACTGCATTTTCTATCCAACCAAACTCCCAAAGTAAAATGTCAAACACATAAAATATTAAATTGGATTACTCTTCTATTAAATTTAAGCCATTTATACACATTAAAACTGTTTTAGAATTTTACATCAGACAATGTGTCTCTAATTTTGCCTTGTAGTGCTCTAAGCTGGTAAAGTATAGATCCTATTAAATGAAAATAAACTGAATTCTTATCCAATTTCACAATAATACCGCATTTCACTTTGGGTATTTCTTTTCATGAAGCTTTCCTAAAAGCCCATAACCAGGACCTGTATGCATGATTTTAAGTAATGTGTCCTTTTGATTATCAAGCATACATGTAATTCAAAATTACGTATAGCTGTTCTCTTACGACAATTTGGAAAGTATCACATGCACAGTATTTATTAATATAATTGTGTGTCAGGCTTTTACTATGAAAGCAGTTGCTGGGATGACCCCTTCTGATCACATTAAAGGGCACTGGAGATATAGTCACTATGCCCAAATCCTGAGGGTATTTTCCCAACCAGATCTTACAAATGGTGCCTCTGCTCTGTCCATAGTCTTCCTGATAAAGCGCTATGTTATCATAAGCTACCAGCGCTGTTCAGGGCACGTAAGAGTAAATAAACTGAAATTCAGAGACACTAGGAATTAAATGTATCCTAAAGTTTTTATGTCCCCCAGACAAGTCATTCTGGGGCTCCAACCATTAGGCAGCACAGTCCTAGAGCACAAGCAAGCCCCTATCTCTATTGTGCCCTTCCTGCCCAGGGTTATCTTTCCATGGCAGAGAAGGGGACTTGTCCACCACTTCACTGTTTCAGCTATGACCATTTGTCACCTTGGCACTCACGGAGGATGACCGCCTTCCAAGCGGTGACATTCTTTGCCCCATAAAATTAAGAGACCTGCCCAGACAGACCTTATCTTTTTCATAGCAGACCATGACAGTAGGCGAGTGATGAAAACAACCCAAGTGTCCACCCGAGGATGAAAGGGTAAGCAAGACACAGTGTGGGAGCTCAGCGAGAGATTAGCCAGCCTGCTAGTGAAATTCTACCGGCTACCACTCCATGGCTCCGCCTTGATGGCATCGTGGTGCTGGACAGCACTAGTCTCGAAGGACAAGGACTGCCTGAAGGCACTGAACTAAGGCACCTAGTGCGATCAGATTCATAAAGAAAGTAGAAAGGTTCCAAGGTCCGTTTTGTATCAGTGTATTCAAAATGGTTAGGATAGATATATAGTTACATTCTCTTACTGAATAGAGGGATTTGTTCTAATAGTGTTTGTAGATAGGATATCAAGTCCGCATCTTGTACAGCAAATAACCACTAGGAAGAATTTATGCAATGTGTTAATTATTGAAACTGTCCTACCAATTTGATTTGAAACTGTCTCATTGCTATATGTCTCTCAATAAAATTATAG